TAGATTATAATTTTATGTAATTATAAAATTTAATGTTTAAAATAATTTAATTTATTATATAATTAATGTAATTAAAAATATATTAACATTATTAATTTATAAAATTAATTGTTTTGTATAAAAATAGTTTATTTAAATAATTAAAAGAAAAAAATAAAATTGGAGAGAAGTGAGTGGGCCATGTGTGGCTTGCAAATTTTGCAAGTGAAATCCTATGTAGCATAAAATTACATTTTTGCAATTGCTTTTGCAATCCATTTGCAAGCCCCATGTGGATGCTCTAAGAAGTGTAAAAAGAGATGATTACTTTTAATATATTGATTAACATATATTTGTTTCAAAATGTGAACCTTTTTGACATGTTTATGAAACAGAAAATACATGTAAAAAGGTTGAACATTATGAACCGAATACATATGAAACGAACACGAAACAAATATATGTTAATCAATACATTAATACTTCACTTAGATGGGAAAAAATAATGTGAAACAAAGCTTAAGGTTGAAGTTTCCACGTATCTCGCAAATTTTGGAGTTATCAAGTGATTAAGCTCCTATATATATTGTTGGTCTCAACCATCGAATTTATAAATAATACAGCTAGCATCCGATTCAACACTTAAAAATAAATTATTATCACTTGCCCTGTAATACTCATCACCTATAAGAGCGACATTAATCGAATATAGATTAACATCCGAACCTTAGGAAGTTTAAGTATTTGGATCTTGGTCAACATATTAAATCTTACATTTAATTATTCTCAACTCCTATCCTTCTGGTCATTCTATCTTGATTTTCAAGAACCCACATTTTATTCTAAGTTATTTTAGAATCTGATGTTCTTACTTCATAATTACTCTAAGGATGGAATCCAATCTATAGCTTATAAATCACAATAAAAATGATATAATTTTTTCTTTATAAGAGTATTGTAACTATTTGTATTGATCCAATAATGAAAGGCTTTCAACAAAATTGAATACTAGTTGAAGTAAAGTCAAGATCGTTACTGAAGCGGATTTGTTTGTGATCTAGCCGAAATAAGATCAATACAATATAAAGTCAAATAGTAGTATGATAAATACTATTACTAGCAAGACGAACTTTGAAGTACAAACTTGTCCGAGTTTGGCTCACCAACTCTTCCAACGCTCATCTTGGTATGACATGTCAGCCAAAGTTTGTTCATAATACAATTTTATTAGTTTCATATTTTCTTTACTTTTCTTTCTACATAAAAAAGGATGCGATACGATAACAACTGTCTATATTAACCACAAAGACCGAAGTTAAGAGAACAAACGTGTCATGGATCAACAAATCAGATAAAGACACGTGTTAAAGTTAGATAATCTATATATATATTAAAGAAGAAACCACATGTAATGATGTGGCCTCTTCTCAAAACAAGAAAATGTTTTATCTTTTTTCTCCTTTTTTCAAGTTTTTCCTACCTCAATATTTGTTTTTGATTTTTAATATTCACATTTAAGACCTTTTAATTAGGTTGTTTCAACCTATTCATATTTCCTATAATAATTACCCTTTTAACTCTCATTATTTCTCTCTATTTGGTTACAAATTTTCATTTTCTCTTCAAGGTAAACCTCTATAATAATCTCTCAATTCTTCCTCTATATTCATGTATAATTTTGTGGTACACTTCTATGATAATCTCTCTATTAATCTCTCGATTTTTTCTCTCTATTCAGTTATAAATTTGTGGATGTTATTTGCATTTTTGTTTATTTGAGGYGTCATTCAATAAGACAAATCATAATATGAGTTTATGTTTATGTAAGTATAATATTTTCTTTTTTTTAGTCGGAGACATTCACATTATAGTTGGAATTATGTAGGCATATGGATTTCTTTTTGTGTAGATAAAGTGGCATATAAATCATTGAAGAAACAATTTAACATTGTTTAAGCATAATATCTCTCTTAACCTCTCAATTCTTTCCATCTATTCAGTTTTTTTGGAGGTCATTCGCATTTTTGTTTATTTGGGTTTATATATTAAA